AAGAACTGACTTACTTGACGTTTGTATTGAAAATCCGAATCACTTTGTTGTTGATGCAGGCTGAGTGACAGCGGAAGATTTCCAGATTGGTTTCAGGTTGATGAATGTGTTTCTCGCCTTCCCGATTCTCGCTCGATTTGACATCGTCGTCCGTTCCTCCTGTAGTTGAGACAATGCTCCCTTAATGATAATTTTATAATTTTTTAAGAGTTACTTTGTAGCGATTCGGTTTTTAATTACTTTGTGATTTAGGGAGTTGTAGACGTGGTCTCATTGCATCTCTTGACCACCTAGGTGATCCTGGTTTATATATCGTTGTTTGCATCGGGAGTGTTAATTGCTGGATATATCCTCAGTTTGTTAAGGACCTGGTATGGTCGAGAGTGGGTAGGTAGACTTTGGTATTCTTCTCGAAATACTTTCTCATGTGGCTACGATTTCATATAGGCCCTTTGCCTCCAAGGAAGTCCTCCTATTGACTGACTGACTTCACATGGCGGAGGTATGGTATTCCTCACAAGGATCAAATAGCAAATTTGGATGTCTGGCATTTACAGCTGGTGTGGGGAGTGGTAGTGGACACTGTGGTCTACTTAGATGAGCTAGGAAATCCATATTCCATACCTATAGTGTACACATAGTCTCTAGATTCTGAAAAGAGTCTGTTTCGTTCAACACACAATAATAGGTTACAGGATTTCATCATGAGCTGCTGAAGAGTCCCAAACTAGGACGAAACAGCTGTTCAGTAATCCCAGGTTTTCCAATGGTTCTCTAACTAATATCAGCTCATGATGAAATCCTGTAACCAATCAAATCCCTACAAACCAATACTTGAACACAATAATAGCTTTATTCCAAACAAGGATTTTATAATGTACAACAGAATTTTCAGCTGAATTTATTGCATGATGCTTTCTCTTCGTCCAGGGCCTTCAAATAAATGACTAATTGTGACAGTACATCGTTTGTGAAACACAATATGTGTTGTCTGATCTGAAGCGCGAACTAATCCATCATGAGATTTTCTTCTTTTTCTCCTTCGAGAGATACACGACGACGACATTTTGTTGAATGCCAATTATATAAAATGTTCAGGAGTACATTTTGTTGTGAACTAAGGACACTATGTATTGGGATAAACTGCCATTGAGGGTGGTGCTTTTTCTCATATTTAGTAGAAACTTGCAAATGTTTTAAATACCCACCAGAGCAGAGTAAACAATACCATTAGAGGTGATATTTTACTAGATTTAAACAATCTGAATGAGAGAAATTATATGCAATAGATTGATGAAAGCCGCCTATCGCAGCCCAAATTTTAAACACGCCGCTACTCACTGTAATCCCAGAAACCGTGGGAATGTAGCTCCTGACTCTACTTTGCTACTGCCTTTTAGATCCTAATTCAAATCGACTGGCACGACGGGTGGCACCTTAAGACAACCACTTACTTCGGTCTGAGTGTCCAGGAAGAGTATCCCAGTCATTGTAGAAACGATGAGATTTTGTGTGGCGCCCATAGTGTGTTTATATTGCTGAAATATTTGGCGGGGGATGGACATTTTGTGGAGCAATTCAACTAACTGGCCTACAGTCACGCTGAACTTGCCTACCATCCGACACCTAATTGAATGGGATGTAGGAACAGATCCTCCGTCTGTAACTTGAGTTTTCAAAAAGACTGTCTCAAATTTGAAACTAAGCGATTCAGCAGGATCTGATAAAATGACTTCAGTGGTGTTTTTAAGGATAGTGGAGGCAATTTACTGTCTGGGTTAACTAAGGTACTAGGCAACGTCTGAGAATCGGTGATAGTCCCGTTCGACTGGTGTAAGTCATTGATTATCTCAGTATACAAGAAGGGAGACAAGTCTTCCTGTGGTAAGAACAGGGGATTAGCTTGACTAATATCGTATGTAAAGTTCTGAGCTCAATAATCTTGCATAGACTAACGGTGCTCGGCAGGAACATAGGTATACTTACTGGCGTCCAACTGTAACAACAGAAGACAAGGGCCAGGTAACAGATCATTTATTAAGGAAAATCAACACATATTTATAGATTTTCATGTACATTATTATAGATTATTGTCAACAGACAAACACAGTCTTCTGATTGGTTGTTTCTCACAGAAAGTTAATATTTCATCTCTTTGTGGCTGTTTGTTGAATGTCAGATCATCCATATGCTAACTGTATCCGCCTACGCAAAGCCTTTGTTCTCATTTTCTGATTGACTGGCTACCAGCGTATAATCTCGTTGACTTAGAATATGCAGACGATATAGTCCTTCTAGGCGAGGACGCTGACAAAATAGAGCAGAGTCTTCTGAACACCTTGAGCAGCAATCTTCGTATGTTTGACATGCGATTCGCCCCTGTAAAATGTAAGATGATGTTGCAGGATTAGACTACACCGACCGCTTCACTTACTTGGGAAGTACCATCAGCCCCAACGGGTTGATCCCTGACAGAAATCTCAGCAAGCTTACGGAGAGCTAGTTTCGCATATGCCAGTTTACGCCGTCTCTGGCGTAGACGTGATATCCGACTATCCACCAAAGGGCATGAGTACTGCTCAGCAGTCCGCTCCGTCCTCCTTTATGGCTGTGAGACCTGGCTATTAAGAGTGGATGACATGAAAAGGCTCACTGTCTTTGATCATAGGTGTCTGCATTTTATCTCCCACGTGAAGTGGTATAATAAGGTGAGCAATATTAAGGTTAGGCTTCGAGTTCTAGGTAAGGAGGGGAAGTCAATCGACATGGCTGTGAAGCTACATCGACTGAGATGGTTAGGACATGTGTTACGTATGCATGACTAGCCATCGCCTTCCTCGACAATGGGCAATGTTAGCTGATATAGGGTCAGGCTGGAAAAGAGCTAGCTAGTGGTGGTCAAACGAAAACATGGCACCAGTCAATGAAATCTACAACAGTTAGTCTAAGCCACGTAGGAAGGTGTAGACTTCCTGACTGGTTGGGGTCCTCGGGTCACTAGTGTTGTCTGCAGTGAGAGAGAATATACCCCGTTTCAGCTATTTCACTACGGGAGTTGTTGTTGTTGTTGAAGAGTCCTAAGTAAGATAAGACAAAACAAAGCAATTATTAATATATATTTATTATTACTATTCAAGAAAACAAACTGCTTGCCTTATCATTCATTGTGTTTTTCTATTTGTATGAGAAATCAGTTGATGATAGAATGCCTATGTCGTCTCATTACTTATCATCTGTATGAAGATACATGTTGTTCTATGTATGCTGCATTTATCGATTTCTCTTTAACCTACTTATTTTAAATACACACAATAGTCATCAGTCTTTGTCTAGTTCAAATCAGAATTTTATCTACATTAGATATATATAGTGTGTTGGTTACTGTTGACTGTATTAGAGGAACATGGAAACAATGTCTGGTGTGTGTGCGTGCGTGCGTGCGTGCGTTTATCCTCTGTTTATTTATTGTCGTTGTGTGTGTGTGCGCCTGTGTTTGCATCAGCTGGCACCAATATAGCAACTTCTATTTATATAGATGATATAGGTAGGTAGGTAGTCAAAGCTGGGAGGTATAGTGTAGAGGGGTTAGCTGGGGGAATAGATTAGTTACACACAGGTAACATGCATTCTACATATTTCTCTGACATGTTTTTGTTGTGTTTATTCCTGTTGTTGTTGTTGTTGTTTTCTCTGGTGAACCGAATGTGAATAAACGAGTGATGAATAAGTGAAAAGAAATATCTCTGAAATGAAAGTGTTTGATGCACATTGAGGTTAAAACCATAAGCGACCTCCTCCTAGTCTATTTACTTACTAACCAAGAATTGTGGCTTTAAATACTGTAAAACACCTGTCTCACTATATTATTATAATCATTATTGTTCCCTTGGGTTCCTAGTGGAACATACGGCTTCAACTGCACGTCTCCACTTGCTTCTGTCTTCTGCTGTACTTTTCACCTGCATCCATGTTAGTCCATACTGTTTCAACTCCTCTTCACACGATCTCCTCCATGTCACCCTTGGACGTCCCACTCGAAATGATTGATGTGAATGTCCTATTATTATAAGTTCCTTTAATTCCTAGAGGAACATAGGGCTTCAGTCAAGAACGTCTCTATCGCGTTCGGTTCTCTGCTAGAGTCTTCACATGGTTCCAAGTCTGCCCACATTCTCTCATCTCCTCTTCACATTACCTCCTCCAAGTCACCCTCGCACTGACCACCAACTCGCCGCTTCCCTTTCGGGTTCCACTCGAGCAATGGTTTGTCTAGTGATGTCACTTGATGGCTTGTTTCCTCAGAGTATGGCCAGCCAATCCATCTCCATTTCTTCCTGCCTATTTGTTGCACAATCGGTTCCTGGTTGGTTCGCTCATTACCAGAGATCCCTCCCTGTTGCTGATCTTTTCTGGCCAGTCATCTGATCTTGAGTAGTATTGAGCAAAGACAACTGTTGATGAAGATCTGTAGTTTGTTTGAGATGCTCTTTATGATGCGCAGGCCAAGTCTCTGAACCGTATAGTAAGTGGCAGTTAGTTCACATTGGAGTTGAAAATCCGGATGTTATTTTTGATACTGGGTAATGCTGTTGGCCTCCACACAGACTTGAGTGTAGTGAAAGCTTATCTTGCTTTTCCGATTCTTGCTTTGATATCCTCGTAGGTAGGTAGTTAGACACTGTGATATCAGAGTAACACTTGATTAGAAGGCACCTCCATAACACGACACTATAACCAATTGCTCTTCCACACTCTCTAGGCGAGACACAAAAGTCAGACTCTTAAAAAAACGACGTACAACGTACATGGATGGTATACTATATATGTACAAAATTCTCAGAAACTTAAGCCATAAATAGAGAAATCTGATTGGCTGTTAGATGATATCATAAAAAAATAAACCACTCACAAAAATTGTCCAATCAGGTTATCATTATTATCAATACATGCATAAATCATAACTTCTCTTTTTTTATTGATTTTTTTTCTTTTTTCTCTAGATAATGCATGTCCGTGAAGCTACTGAATTAGACCTAATCCATGCGAAAAAAGAAGATCTGTGTAAAACGATACAAATATTCTATCAAAATCCCACTACTACTACTACTACTACAGCGGCTGCTGCTTCCAAAGTAGTACAGCACGTTTATGATTCAAATAACAATAATAATAATAATAGTAATAATGAAGACACTGAATTAGATGTCTGTGAGACTAGTGTAACATCTTCTGGCACACAAAATTCCCTACAACTATCTTCATCAATGTTGAAGTCTTCCAGTAGATCCAATCAAGATCATACTACTACAACTAATAATAATAATACTAGTAACACTATTACTACTAATTCAACAAACATTCAATGGATGAGCCATAACTTCCAATTAATGCGTTTTCATTTAGGCAATGTATTATGCGATGTTTGTCATAAAAATTGTTCCGATCTATTGAATCCACCAAAAGCACTGGAATGCTTGAATTGTCGTCTTCGAATCCACTTTGATCATGTTGATAAGCATGAAAAGTTCACCTCGTGTCATAATGCTGCAAACGTTCGCTATCTACGTATGTCAAATTCAGCGGTGAAAAAAGTATGGATTGAACAATTGATCGCTTTACGTCAATGTTTAAAAGAATTACAGCAAACAACAACAAGATCCAGAACAAATATCATTATTAATTGATGCGGATGTCTCGTTAACTGGAGGAGATGGTGGTGGTGGTTCTACAACAAGCAGTAATAGCAGTAATAATAATATTCTACAGTATATGAGTCCAATGAAACCGATTTATCGTAGTATGCGAGCTGGTTCTCTCGGTCCATCAACAATTCAACAAGGCAGTATCACTACAAATCAACGATCCGATAGTCTGAATTATCTACAATATTCATTTCGTAAAAAAATTACTGGCGGTTCCCGTGCTGGTGGAGGGACTTCATCAACACCTAAGAATAATAATAATAAATCACCACGTTCTGCTTCACCAGCTCTTGTCTTCCCAAAATTTGAAGATCGATAATAAAAAAAGGATGATGACTGTATGCATTCTTGTCTGTGCTGTGTGTGCTTGTGTGAATACTTCTTTTTTATCTCTTTTAACAGCTTTTTATACATTTTAGTCACAGTTACTTACTGTGCTACTCAGCCAGCCAGCCAGTCAGTTGATAATGAAAAAGGAGAAAAGTGTCTTCCAACCATCTCTCTGTTTATTACTCATTTTGCTGCTCATATATATATGATTGATTGCTTTATGACCAATCACCGCCTTGAGAAAAGGATATTTCTGTCTATGTATGTATGTATCTTTGTATGTATGTACAGATGCCTAAACTATATAGATATATAAAATACAGTTAACTGTGATTTTCAGTGTTGTTGTCGTTGTAAGACGTTATGTTTGTTTGTTTGTGTGTGTATGTTTCTTGGCTCGCCGCTTATCGTGAAGGTATACATATATATACGTCAGCTGTTCAATGTCACAACGCTTGTGTATTTTTCTGATGACTGACTGCTGTCTTTTATTATATATATATAGTCTCTCTCCTCTATTTTGTATGTGAAAAGAAGACACTTCAACAGCTAGCTGTAACAGAGTACACTGTTTTTTCTCCGCCAGGCGGCCCCCTCTCCTTCGCCTCCTTAATTATAAAATACACATGCACACAGCAGTTTGTGTTTTTTCAACAGAAACGCAACCAAAGAAAGTAGTCGAATCACTTAGAGTGGGGAGAGTTTAACTACTCTTCTTTCCCCCCCCTCCCCCACACGTTCTACTGTCTTTATGCTGTATTTCTCGTGCCTTCTGCCTACTGCACACACACACTCACGCAGGTCGATGATATTAGCGTTGCTGCCGCTGCTGCTTAACAAGTACCCTTTTTTGTATTATTATTATTTATTATGCCTTATTCTCTGTTACTTTTTGTGGGATGACCTTTCTTCATTCTTGTTATTACTGTTATTATGTTCCTCTATTTTTGTCTATTATTATTATTATTGATAGATGTAAACATCATTCGCCTGTCGACACGTAGTAGTAGTAGTAGTAGTATGGTATGCGCGTGCAACCGTATACGTGCCACATCCAAGGAGAAGAGAGTAGTAGTGGGGAACCGAAGAATGCCGCCTGTTTGCTTTGTATATTGTGTACATTCCGACTGTACGTATGTATGTATCTGTTTGTGTGTGTGTGTGTGTGTGTCAGAGTTTTCGGCGTCATTCTTATCATCGCAAGTATCTGTTGTTGATGTTGTTGTTATTCTGAAATATTTGTTGTATTTGATTTTTTGTGATAAGGATGTGTGGGGGTGGGTGGGTGAGTGAGTGGGGGAGGTGAAGGACGAGAGAAGGAGGGGAGGGGCGGTGAGAGGAACAATATTTATACGATTATTACTATTATCAACAATCAATTTTCTTATATTTTTGCACCAGAATTTTGCCAATTCAATAAGATAAATTAATTATTGCTATTATTATTATTGTCTTCCTGATATATATACATTTATTCATCATAATTATAACTGTGAAGAAGCAGAAAAAGAACGCTGAATTACAACCAAAAGAAATAAGCAAACATTTTTGCGATATACATTATTGTACATATATTACCTATTTATATAATAAATACGTATTTATAAAGGTGTTCTCTGTTTTTTGTAATAGTAGTGGTGGTAGATTGATAGATGGCTTCTAAGTGGAACATACAGCTTCAGGAAGATATCTCCTTTACATATATCTCCTTTATTTTCTTCTTGTTCCTGTGCAATAATCGTTTTTTCAGCACTGATTTCATAATTGCACCCCACCCACCCCTATAAGCTTTCATCTCCTCCTCCTCCTGCTCCTCTTCATATGAGATGATCACCCTCAGACCCACGCCCAACTCGTTGGATTGTCCAATCGACGAGCTATGTCATTCACTGGTCGGTCTCTTTAGAGCATGTTCGATTTATCTCTGAAAGTAACTCTGCCAAGTAATCCCCACAACGGGAAACTTACAAAATGGTTCGAAGTAAAGACGAGAGTAAGACAAGCTGGCTGCCTACTATCGCCAATGATTTTCCTGATTGCAGTAGATTGGATAATGCGACAGATAGAAAGCGAGGAATGAGGAAACAGGCATAAAATATACTCTCACAAAATATTTGGAGGATCTGGACTTCGCCGATGTCTAAGCCCCTCCTTACCTAGCACTCAACTAAGACCTAACCTCAATATTGCTCACCTTATCATACCACTTCACACAGGAGATAGAACGCAGGCACCTATGATCAAAGACGGCTAGCCGGCGTTTTCGTGTCTTCCACTCTCAATGGCCATGTCTCACAGCTAGCCATAAAGGAGGACGGAGCGGACTGCTGAGCAGTACACCCGCCATTTGGTCGATAGCCAGCCGGATATCACGTCTATGCCAGAGACGGCGTAAACTGGCATATGCGAAACTAGCCCTCTGTATCCGTGCTGAGATTTCGTCAGGGATCAACCCCGTTGGTACTGACTGATGCAACTTCCCAAATAAGTGAAGTGGTTAACACGTTCTACCACTTCATGCCAAATATTCAAAGATTTCATGCAATTCTTCCCATTAATAAACTTGAACAAAGCAAGAACAACAATTGTACCAGGATAATATGAGCTCATCTTTTATTATTATTTCGAGGATTCTTCTCAACTGGTTACAACCTGAACGATAAAAAATATGAATTACATTACATTAAAGATTTGAACATACTTTTCCACGATCACAAGGAGTAATTGGTAGGAAGTAAAAGTAACATTAGTCCGGAATGATTTAACTAATTAAGAGTTACAAACACTGACTATTTATAGAATAATTAGACAATTAGGCTTGGAAACAAAAACAGAGTTGCATATATATATGTGTGTGTATAGAAACAAGGTTTAGCTAGACAGAGCATAACAAAAAGGTAGATTACGTAACTAAAGAAAATGCTTTATCTAATAGCCAATAGAAAAAAAAGGAAGAGAAAAGAACAAGAAAGGGTGAGTCATGTTTAGATGAGAGAGTAGAGTTTTCTAAACAAGAAAAAGGTGACTCATACAAGTTGTATATTCAAAGATTGCTAGTCAAGGTGTTCAAAAGACTCTTCTGGATTTTGTCAGAGTCTTCACCTAGGAGGCAGGACTATATCATTTGCATATTCTAACTCAACAAGAAAGCCATTCTCTGGTAACAAGTCAATCCCTGAGTCACTGAAGTGAGTTAGGATTAAGTCCATTAATACATCTATGATGAAATTGAATAGAAATGGTCATAGTGGGCATCCCTGAATCATTTGCTTTCTCTGACATCGAATCTATCTCCCTGCCATTTGATATTTATATGCCGATGAGCAACTCTTTATATACATACTACTGATAAACCTTATCAGTAGCACACTCCACAATGTGACTTAATCAGTCCATACAACCAACCTATACACCAGTCGGGTAGTTCTGCAATTCTTTTATTCTAAGTTATGTAACATAGACATATTTATAGTTCTTTAACAAAACCTTAAGATTCAACAATCCTTTTCACAGGTGATGATGATTACAAGAAGGCAGGTGTTGTCTATACAACCTCTACCTGTAAATATTTATCCTATTAAAAATGAAATTGTATTACATCTCCATCTACTTGATGAATCCCGTTAGATACGAAATCTATACCAAGCAGACTTTTCTACCGATTTACCTATTCACAACTTCTGATGGCAAAAGGAAATAATAGTAATAATAATAATTTGCTTTATTCCAGAAACAGTACTAGTGGTACAGTATGGAATTTTCAGCACATATCTACAATATTTGCATCTAATTTTATCAAACATTTAAAAGGAGTATTTCAAAAAAATAAATATAAAGACAACAACAGCAAAAAAAAAAAATATCTCAGTATTGGGTAGTGGAAGCTATGATATGATTATGCATGGTGACAGTAAAGCTATAGTCATACAAGAAGTTATGAAATGATATTTAAGAATGTTTATCGCCAAGATGATCAGTTAATTTGGTTGAAACAACACTAAACAATCATAAAATAACATTTCAGGGTTGCTGTTTTGTTTTTTATTGTCAGGTCTAATGCAGTGTTTGTAGTGGTAGTGTGAGTAATCCTGCATAATACAAAATTTTAAGGTGGTGATAATGGCGTTCACAACCAATGATTGTCAGTTAATATTGCCGAAAAAAATAAAAAATAAGAAAAAACAACCACAAAACTAATAATTACATGATGGTTAATGACAGGACAATTTTGTACTACTCATAGTGCTAATATAGTCGGAACCAGTAGATACACAAAAGAAGGAATAGAGTAAAGTACAAAAAAGGAAGCCAATGTTAATAATTTAGGTAGCTAAGTATGTTTAAGAAGGAGTTCACTATAGAATACAAAATAAGAGAGAAATAAAAGAGCCTAAAATTATGTTATTAACAACAAAGCAAGTCATAGGTTTCGCGCTTAACATTGTCTCTGTCACTTAGAACACAGGCCAAGTATGGTATCGTTGAGTTCCTGTACTTGGTTGTACGAGCATAGATTATTTTATACTGATTTCTGGTTCTACTTGATGAGATACAAGGCGAGAGTTGGGAATAGAGGGGGTGTTGGGGGTCGGAGAGTATGGTTTTAGACCATTTTTCGCATGTATTCAGATGCCTATCACACATAACTAGGCATTTTACCATTTAGCCATTTACTTCCATATATATATATAGTTTTCAACAAGAAATAACATCATCATTTAGAGAATCTTTCAAAATCTATGGAACACTAAGTAGATAGTGACAATTTCTTCCTAGTCTGGGATTTCACAACAGTGTGTACACCTGATTCTAAAAAAATCCGAAGAGCAAAAAAAAATTGTTTGCAACCCTAATGGCATCCTATATAAATATATATATATCCTGCAAAATTTCTGCCACCTCAGTTTTTCGATAATTTTTCACCAACCTTGTACAATTAATTACACAATGAAATTATTGTGAGGCATAGATATTTTATGTCAGTGTGGT